GTTCTGCTGTGCTTGATGTGGCACGCACAGAACAGGCATGGAGACAGAGTTGGTACTTGGATTGCAGAGTCTGACAGAGTATTCAATAAAATTAGAACATGGACAATTAAGAAAATAAAATCTAAATATAAGATTTGGTCCCAACTTAACAAAGTAAACTAATATCTTGCTTAGATATCAACCAATCTTAAAGTGGGTAAATGATGTCAACAAAACATACAGGAAACCACAAGAGTACTTGTCTCAAATACAACCTTAACCAAAAATAAACAAACAAAACAAGAAGCAGCTTTGATTAACAAAACAGATTAAAAAAGACCTTATGGTAACATGTATGATAACAGCCATAATTAAAAGCAAGAGCAACTACGTGTCTCAGCAACATTGAGATACAATACACCAGCAACTCTCTGCCTCAAATATGACCAAAATGAATGGGTTTTTTTGTTTGTTTCTTTTTCAACTACCACAGCTATAAAACAAAAATCTTCCCCCTTTTTTTGTATCCTCATCAAGTATTACAAGCACCACACGAGGAAGATCAAACAATATTATATTCTCTAATAAACAGAACCAAAGTATTACTACAGTACTAAGAAAACATCGAGTTCTTAAGATCTAGCTAAACATATAAAGAACAATAACAAAAGAACATATATTTACACATCTGCCATTTCGGGTCTTTAAAAACAAAGGGCTGCAGATCCACAGATGCATATTTAAGGCTTCCCGTTGGATTCAACCCTGATTCTTCTTGTTATGTAAATGAACCACATCATCAGTACAAATCCAACAGAAAGCGAGGTAAAATCGTTTTCCAGTGTGTGTTTCAGTTACATACTATATAACAACTTTATTATTTTTAAACTAATCTGTCACTTTTATTTTCTATAAACAATTCATTCCTAGCTTAGATTTTCTACTCCTCCTGTATCCGCTTGGCATGTTAAGTGCTATCAGCAGTATCTATCCAGTCTACCTTTTCCCTCTGAGAATGAATGTCTCAGATGTGTTACAAGCGCAATTTCATCTCCTAAATGAAGCATTTTTATATTATGACTAGATTTGGAACAAACATATTAGCCTATCAAAGAAAAAAAAAAGAAAGAAAAAGATTACCAATTCTGCAGTTTATGCACACATCTAAATCAATCTTTGAAAATAGCAGTTTAGGACCGAGAAGGGGCAGCCTCACAAGAAACACCAGACTACATTATGCGATGGCAGCCACTCAGAAACTGGGAAGTTGTAGCTGTACTGGAAGGTACAAACATGCCCAACAGCAAATAACTGAGCTCCACCACAGTGCCCACTGCACACTGAGGAATGAAACAATTCTGATAAAATCCACAGGAGCAACATCCTGTGACGTTCATTTGATCCAGCCTCTAGCTCTGCCAAACCATACTGTCTCATAGTCAAAGACTTAAAACTCATTAAATACTAACGAGAGAAAAGAAAAAGAAAAAGAAAAAAAAAGAAAAAGAAAAAAAAAGAAAAAGAAAAAAAAAGAAAAAGAAAAAAAAAGAAAAAGAAAAAAAAAGAAAAAGAAAAAAAAAGAAAAAGAAAAAAAAAGAAAAAGAAAAAAAAAGAAAAAGAAAAAAAAAGAAAAAGAAAAAAAAAGAAAAAGAAAAAAAAAGAAAAAGAAAAAAAAAGAAAAAGAAAAAAAAAGAAAAAGAAAAAAAAAGAAAAAGAAAAAAAAAGAAAAAGAAAAAAAAAGAAAAAGAAAAAAAAAGAAAAAGAAAAAAAAAGAAAAAGAAAAAAAAAGAAAAAGAAAAAAAAAGAAAAAGAAAAAAAAAGAAAAAGAAAAAAAAAGAAAAAGAAAAAAAAAGAAAAAGAAAAAAAAAGAAAAAGAAAAAAAAAGAAAAAGAAAAAAAAAGAAAAAGAAAAAAAAAGAAAAAGAAAAAAAAAGAAAAAGAAAAAAAAAGAAAAAGAAAAAAAAAGAAAAAGAAAAAAAAAGAAAAAGAAAAAAAAAGAAAAAGAAAAAAAAAGAAAAAGAAAAAAAAAGAAAAAGAAAAAAAAAAAGTGTAGGTTATTTTTCCACTTTTAACACAGTAGTATGCTTGAACAAGCTACAGAGTCTTCTGAAATGTTCAGGACCATGTACCAAACAAACACAACAAAAAAACCAACATTCATAAGCACGGGGGGCCAATTTTCATAGGTATTTTAAATGAAGTTTTAGCTGCTTTTTCTACATGTTTCACACCACTGAAAACACTGCTTGTGATAGCTTTTAGCCTTTCTTATTTTTAAGAAAGTGCCATTTTAGAATACAGATTTCTCTAGTATTTCTTGTCTGAGTCCAAAAACTTTCAAGAGCCAAACCCAGTGTGACAGGAGTGCTGTATGCAGCAATTCAGGCATATATAAATCCGAAGCTTCAGAGTCTTTGTTTATTTGGCCACAGCTTTCCTACGTGCAGTCTTCACAGAGTTCACTTTAATTATTTATAGCATTTTCATTAATGAAGCCTACTTATGAAAACAAGAATGTGAAGAAAGCATTATTTGGAAAAGGGATATTTAGCTACTCACAGAAGATTCCCTTAGCCATATATTCAATTAGGCCTGAGGGGAAAAAAAATGACAAGTATAAAAAACTCCTAAATGATTTGATTAGTCTAAAATACTTCATGGAGTGTACTAGTCAGAACATTGTTTCCACCTTTTTTCCCTCTCCCCCCAACTTTAAAAAAAAAAAAAAAAAAGCTTAGCCTATTATAACAAAAAGTTGAAATAAGTATGTCTAAATAATTCTAAATTTAGGAGAACTTTAAAACTTACAAAGTTTTGAGACTTACTTCTCACAGGCAGAAATTCCAAGGGAGGAAGTGTTTACCAATCTCAGCTTTCTTTACATACCGCGTGAAGGTTCGCTTTAGGCTTTAGTAAATTGACACAAGCATATACAAATGGCTTAAACCCCCTTCCTCATATCATTTGAGCGCTACTTAAAAATAATTCTTAGAGGGGTTCTTTATAGAACACAGAATTCCTGTTCATCAGGAAAAAAAAAACAAAAACGAAACAGAAAAAAAAACTAGCAAATTCAAAATAAAAATGGCAACTTTGAAAAATGCTGTAGTTCTAAAGACTGAGCATAAAAGAGGAAGAAATCAAAACTTGATATTCCAATACCCGAAACAGCAGAAGCAATGAAAGGTGTCACCTGGTGACTCCAAACAGCACTGGCCAACCTATTGCAATGAGTGAGTGAAGTTTTCCAAAACCTATTTTTATTTCTTTCTGGATGCCTGCAATAACCGAAGTATTTTGATTTTGAGATGATGTTGAATTTATTTTCGAAAGAAACCAGGATTGCTCTGCTCTGGACAGGGCAGGCTGTGCTGACACCGGGCTCTTGGAGGTCCTCTGATGGTGCTTAACATCATCAACCCTTATACTCAGGTTGGCTACAAAAAGCAAGATGGAAGAGAAACACCAGCTAAGATCCAAAAGATTGTGGGAGGTGGCATCGGGGGATGTCTTCACACAGCCCAACATTTCTGTGGTAATACTTGTCCCTGCACTCACTACCCCATGGAGTAGTGGGGTGAAACACTACACAATTGAAACAGCACAGCGACCTGTTTTCTCCCATGCTTAAGCCAAGTGTTTGAGAGCACAAGCTCTACTTCAAGCATGTAGGCCTCAAAAATCAAGCTCCAGTTTTAAAACAAACTTGAAAGGGCTGTTGGCTTGAGAGACAACACATTGGACAAAAGCCAGCTTGCCATTCACAAGGCACCCCAGGTAAAAGTGTAGGGCAGCAACATTTAAAACAGTGCACCACAACACCACTCTGTAAAATACGTGTTATTCTGCTTTTTATGTCACCTATACAGTGCTTGAGGGGACTACATATACTGCAAGGACTCCCCACAGCCAGCCAAACCCAGACCTTTGGAAGGCCCTTTGGTGCCACTCAGAGAAAAATAAGTGGAAAAGCATTAAAAATAAACTATTTGAGAAACTTGAAAGAACAGAATACAACACTGGAAAAGCAATCCCAAATTGTCTTACACTCAGGTATACTTGTCTTATACTCAGGTACCAACATTTTGTGCAATTGAAACATAGAAGTTAGAAAAAAATTGCTTTTTACAGGGTACAGAAAACTAGAAATTCTTTGGCTTGAAGTAAACATGATTTTGAAAATCATATTGTTTGGATTTTAGTGACAAGAAGGGAAAATGCTTCAGTAGACAATAAACAAATATATAAAATTTGGGAAGCTACCCAGAGCTTTTTGAATAGCACAGCACATATTTTAAAACAAACAACTTTCAACTCGGGTGCAAGTATTTCAAGTCGCATCCAAGAGATAAATGCTCTGTAGAAACAACACTCTCTTAATCTCAAAGAGGTCTGAACATACACTGCAATCACTCCATCATGTTCCTCTGCCAAAAGCAACGACG